CATAGTTTACCGTAAACCTGAAAGTAAGATAAATACATTGGGACAATACATAAATTATCCATCGCCTGCCCCTTTTCATTCATGCAGAAAGCAAGCATATGAGACATTACCTGTCGTCTCAGTGAGGAGGCATCCACTAAACCGGACTCATCAGGGTTTAAATCCAAGGCCAGATCCAGGTGTGTCCTGTGGAGATGAACACATTTTCATTCAGCCTTTAATGAGGGATTCGATGATTTTGTGACCAGTATTCAACTTGATGCCTACTCACTATATACACCTGCAGATCACATTCACCTATGACTGCTGGCCTCAGCCATAGGTGAATGTGCTCAGCTTCATATGTTAATATGATTGAATTTGTGCTTAAAAGAGTGTGGTAAAGGGCTCACAGACTTTGAAACAATGACACACAACAACAACAAACAGCTATGATCAAATTGGTCTTTTAAAAGTTGCTTCATCCCTGGTAATAACATTTATATTTGACTTCTTTCTCAGCTCAGAAACTGAACACATTACAAAGATGTTCTTGTATTAAAACTTTAACCCCAATTCCAAAAAGCTGGGATGCTGTGTAAAATATAAAGCAAAATGCAATGATTTGCAAATCCCAGAAAACCATTTTTATTCACAACAGAACATAGAAAACATGTCAAATGTTCCAACAAACTCATTAAAAAAAAACTGGCTCAGTTTGTGTTCGACAGCAGCAACACATCCTAATAAAGTTGAGACCGCGTCAACAAAAGGCTGGAAATGTAAGTGGTACTAAACAGAAACCGTTGGAGGAACCACTCATTATCTCCGATACATAATATCATTTTAAAAGATCTGACATTCTGACAAAAATCTCCAATCAAGTCAAACAGCTGAAAATCAATACAGAATTTCAGGCAGCACTGCATTAAAAACAGACATGTCATGGGAATCACAGCTTGGGCTCAGGAACACTTAAAATCACTGTGTGTAATTCATCATTACATCCACAAAAGTAACTTAAGGCAGAAGTAGAAACCTGTGATCAGGTGAAAAACAAGGATGCCACCTCCACTGGACTAAAGAGGAGAGGGACCAACTGGCTTATTATCAACTTTCAGTTTACAAGCCTGCATCTCTGATGGTATGGAGTTGCATCAGTGCCTATGGAACTGGCAGCTTGCACATGTGGAAAGGTACAGTTACAGCTAAAAGGTATATACAGGTATTTGGGCAACATATGCTCCCATCCAGATAATATCTTTTTCAGAGAAGGCCTTGTTTACTTCAGCAAGACGATGCTAAACCAGTGTTGAACTGACTGGAAACATTTGGAGCATCATGAAATGAAAAATATGACACACGAGACCCAGGATTGCCGAGCAACTAGAATCCTCTATCAGACAAGAATGGGACAACTTTCCTCTCCCAAAAGTGCAGTAACTGCTGTCCTCAATCACCAGAAATTTACATGCTGTTATTAAGAGAAGAGGGGATGCTACACAGTGATAAACATGACCCTGTCTCAACTGTTTGGTTTTTTTAACGTGTTGCTGCCATCAAATTCAAAATGAATTAATTGTGGCGGAGGTGTGGTCCCCTTGGCTCAGCTGCAGGGAAGGCATGGTGCAGTGAGCTCAAGGGGCAGTACCAGAGAGGTTGGAGGGACAGGTAAAGGTTATTCATCTAATGAGGTCTTCCCTTCTTTATAGTGATGTCGAAGACCAGAATGAGAGACGCGTGTGTGAGGTCAGGTGAAAAGCTGACCGTGCTGAGACACTGGTGCCACACTTAAACACACATGTTTGAGATTTTCAAGTCATTGCATTCGATTTATTTATTTATTTAGCAGTGACCCATCTTTTTTGGAATTGGGCTTGTATTTGCTATTTGCTGAAGTCACGTTAAGGAAAAATAATCTATGATTTCTCGTCAAACATGTAAGTTACACATTGAACAAAGGGGGATGTACACAAGTCAGGACGTCAGGACTGTGACGTATGAGAGTTTTAAAATTCACTTCTTTTAATAAGAAACTCATGCTCATGACTTTTTCCTGAATTTCCCCACAGCAATCATCTGTTTCTTTAACAATCTTTCTTAGTGCAAAGATTTGTAATAAATTCAGCCAAAAAGAAATGAAGAAAGAAAAAACATACCTGCGATGGCTGTCATCAAGGACCTCAAGGACCTGCTGGTAAGCACGGCGTGTCGTTGACTGGATGTACGTCAGGAGCCCAGCAGCTGTAAACAGGTTGATGTTTGCATCCTCGGGGGAACAGAGGGGAGGACACAAACGGACTGGGGGGGCAGAAGGGGAAGGGGTTACACTGGCAGGGAGATAGGTGGGGAGAAACATTAAAAGAAAGAAGACATTTTTATAAATCAACCAAGAGTGAAAGAAAGCTTTGCATTGGAAAGGCAGCGGTGGGGAAGCAGTGTTTCAAACGTAGCTGTGCCCGTACCTTACATCGCCTCTGCTGATCTGACTGCTGTGACGGCCGGGTACGTTCTCACTCGCGCTGCGCTCCCTTCGAGGCCGACCATGAAAGCTGGCCTGTTGTTAAATACAAATTTGAAATAACATCAAGCTCAGTTTGCAGCAACGCATGATTGCTGATTGATGAACCACACTTAGTTCAGCCAAACTGACTGGAAAAATAAATCTGTGATTTTGGCCACTTGATTGATGTTTTTCCTACAGAAGAATGTGTGATTATTAATGACTCTTCACCAATTACCAATGCATTATTTTTCTATTGTGTCTTAAGAACCTCAAACCATACTCCATGGAGAAATCAAAATGGGAAGAAGTGCAGCACAGCACAAAGACAGTCCTTAAAGCTAAAAAATAAATAAATAATCACATTCAGTTTTCATTGCGTCTCATAAATCCCACGACTCCAGGCAATTTTTGTAATTAAGGACCAGTATGTTGGGATAAAAAATGTCAGCAACACCTTCAAGACCACCATCAAGGAATATCTAAACTGATAGTACTAATAAAGTAGAAATAATGCTGTGTATACTAGTTGCTGCTCACTTATTCATAAGGGGTGGCCACAGCAGGTAGCTCTGCGTATCTGATTTATCCTGGCGCTAAACCCTTGAAACTCAAGGGGGGGATATTTCACTTTAGATGTGTAATATATGGTACTGCAACCATCTCCATTTGCATAAACATTTCCCTAAAGTTGGGATTTGCAGGACTATTTGACTAGACAACTAATCCTCGCTATTATCACACGTACTAGTAGTATAATCTAAATTGTTTTAAATTTTGATTGAAGCCAAATGTAGGTAAATTGCTATGCAGCCACCTGCCACCAGATGGCGCATCGTTGTTGAGAAAGGCCATAAATCTGCTCATCTAGGCCTGATCTCTTTGTTAACACTATTACTGTTCTTTTAAAGGCAAAAGAATGAGATTGCTGATACAAGCAGTGGAAATGTGCCTTCTCCAAAAGGTCAGTGGGCACTTCCTTAGCAATAGAGTGAGGAGTTCAGTCATTTGGGAGGGGCTCAGAGTAGAGTCGCTGCTCCTCCACATCAAAAGCATCCAGCTGAGGAGGACGCCTCCTGGGTGAGGTGCTCTGCTGGTCATTTCCTAATGGGAGGAGGCCCTGGGGTAGAACCAGGACCTGCTGTACAGACTATATTTAATCACCTGGCCTGGGAACACCTGGACGTTTCCCCGGGATAAACTGAAGGAGAGAGGGAGGTTTGGACTTCCCTGCTTTGGCTGCTGGCCCTGCAACCCATTATTTGTTGTTTTGTTATTTTAGATTTTAACTTTTATTAAAGTGGTTGTCATGAATTTTTGAACAGCGACATAATGGTCAACAAAATGCACCACATTTTTCTGTTCAACTCATTGGTTTTTCTGCCAATGCCAATTGCATTAGTCAAATGCTGATTGACTGACAAGTGGGCTGGAACAGGGAAGGGAGCGGCAATGGAGTTCACCAGGAATGGGAGGATTGTGAGGAAAAAAATAAAAATAAAACAAATCACAGACCAAAAGATAGCGCATGAGAAGTACAGACAGTGGGTGCAGTGAATACTTTACATTGTTTAACACTCAGTACCGCTTCAGCTCTTTGTAGATTATAACTTCACTCTTCTCAGCAGCTGGCTAACATACCGACAACAGCACAAGCAAAAGTAGCCCGCAGACCGGTTGTACCACATATTTTGTACAGTGCCTCAATCGACAACAGACACTCTCTGCAAGTAGACAAGCCAATGGAGTGCCAGCATAGTCCCAATGCACTAACACTGCTGAACCATAATGTCAGCATAAGGCAAATATAGTATATCACTACATTATGGATCCACTTGAAGTTTTGAATATAATGAGAGAAGAAAATTCAATATTCTGAGAAGGAAGCTGAGATTACTCTGAAAGAAAACGTACCGCTTGGCTGGGATTGCGCTGTGAGTTGACAGTTTGGTCTGTTTCAAGCGAATCCAGAGGCTGCTCGGTAAGGGTGAGGACACGTGGAGGGGCCTTCATGTTCAGGAGGTCCACAGGAGGAATGGACTGAATCAGATCCAAGTCTCTTGGACATGCAAATCGAGGATCCCCTTCATCACCTACAGAAAAATTGGCCATGAAATTTTTATACAGCATATACATGTTTTAAACATAATACCTCAAACATGACTGCCAACTGTCATCCTCACCTGCAACAACAATCCTCTCAGGAACCTGCATCAGAGCTGTGTGAATGGGCAAAGGCTGCTGAAGTGGTATGGATCCCGCTTGGCTCTCTGGGGCCACTTTGAGGGTCTCTGGGATTCGCATGCGCTGGCTGATGCCCTCTGTATACTCCAGCTCAAAATGGATGCGATTCATCTCAGCCACCTCTGCAGAGGGGCTAGTGAAAGTTGCCCCACTCATCCAGCTGATAACCCACAAAATGGGAAACAAATGAAACGCACATACAGATACTAATCAAACAAAGTGTGGGTGTGAGTGTCACTGCAGCTAAGAGTTCAGAAATATAAGCTCAACTTAATGCCCCATTTTAAATAACAGATCAAGGCTCATATCTTGCCTGACTTTTTTATTACATGCCAATTTACAATAAAACACATGCTGCAGTTAACCCTGAATTTAGCCAATTAGCTCAGTAGCAAATGGTGCTACCTAAACTTTAAACACGATCATTAGCCTGTGCAAAAAGCACCTGCTCCAGACGGTGTAAGGTAGTGGGTTTAGGTCCAAGCTAATGAGTACACTACGAGAAATAGCATTTCATGTTACGTCGTTACATAACAGCGACATGAGATGAAGCTGTTGCTGGCACGCCGCTTCAATGTCACTGAGTGAAAATCCACGTAAGACGCCATGTCTAGCTTGTATGTTAGCAATCTAGCTTGTCGCTATGCTTGAAAAGCGTTAACAGACGACGCTATCGATTTTAGCTTATTAAACGCTGCGCTGTAAGCCGCTGCCTGTCTGCACTGACATGCTGGTTAGCCACAGGTCTGTCCTGTCAATACTCACCGTTATGGTTTTACCACCTGGGTTTAAACTGGCATGCGCCAACACGCTGTTCGTGCTGTCATACAAATAGCATCAGGGGCTCCTCAAAGGACCAACCGAGACGGACTCAGCGAAAGCTCTCAACGCTTCTAGTTAGTGTGGGTGTAGCTGTTAACTCTACCCCGCGTGACCGCCGGGGCGGTTACTATGAAGTGCACCGAGAGCCGCAAGAGTTGGTGAAAACCAATGGACATTTAAAATTAGCAGTTTAACCTGCTTTATTTACGTAAGTTGGTCGCGTTTTATTTATTTTTATTGTCCCATAAGTTAATTGGTCTGAACTGCAAAAATAAAATGTATTTCAAATAAAAGTAGCCAACGTCACGGGAAAAAAAAGAAAACAGGGTGGTCAGGGTGACCACATCCCAACAAAGTGTGTGGGGTAAATAGTCTGTGTGTGGGTCACACCAGGGCCGATTAAGATGCGGGACTTTGCTTCAATGTCTGGGTTAAAAATGCACCAACCGGCCAGTTGTTACTGGGGTGTTTTGGTGGCTAGATGGTTTACTTCGAGTGCAGGTTTAAAGTCTGATGGAAATTAAACTTGCATTTTAATGAAGCTGGACCTTTTGTATTGTAGATAGATATTGTAGATTGTCAGCAGTTTCTGGATGATGTCTTTAGGTATGATGTCTATGTATGACAGCTCGTGCATAAAGGTTTGATTAAATAAATAAAAGCAAAACAAAATATAAACATTCATCCATTCAAAATATATTACTCAGTCTTGTTAATATGTGTGTTGTCGTCTTTGTCCACACTATCCACTGTGCTCAAATTTATACTATTATATCTTCATCACAGAGACAAACACAAAGATTTACTCCCACATAACACTTTGGGTGAATCTAACCATCATTTGTCTGCATATGGTTAAATTGATTTTCCCTAATTTGAATTTCCAGTTCCTCTGCTATCAATCATACGCAGAAAACACACACAATCATTTCCACAAAATGTAATTTTAACTGTTAACTTATTTCAGCTTTAAATTGAATTGAACTTGTTCATTTTCTATTTTTGTATGTAATGAATCCTCAGTGGTGTTCTAATGCTGTCTGGCAGCTTGTATGGTATTATGTGAGATATATGTGTATATATATGGGACTTTGGTTAGATCTGAGCGTAGGTAAAACCATTTTCCAAGAGATCACGTGTTTTTTTTAATTAAAATTGTGAATGTAGTTTTATTTTATTTTAATTTTTTCCGTGTACCGTGTTAAGAAAAAAACTTGAAAGGTTTGAAGAAGCGTGTCTCTGAAGCATGTAGAAATACAACTCCCACAATTCCAACGAATTTAAGAAAAAAACGCGCATGCGTTCTCGATCTGGGCCATTATTTTGTCCTCCTCAAGCTTCAATTGAACAACGGGCTAAGCGCTCCTTGAAATGAATTAATTATTAATTCACGGAAAGAGCTATTTTCCCCCTCTATTTCGGACCACCGACACTCATGGAGTCTCTCGGTCAGTAGCTCGGCTGCTCAGTCCTCCGTTTTACCCGGAGGCCGAAAACAGTGCGCGGAGTGACAGCCCCGTTAAAGCTTGCAGACTGGGTGTTTATCTAGTTGGCTAGCCAGCCTAGCTAGCTTCCTAGACAGCTACGAGGGGAGAAAAAACCCGAAAGGACAATTTATTGACTTTTGAAAGACAGGACTGTGGCCGTCCCTGTCCCGTCCAACCAGCCGAGGGGATGGCACACCTTCGAGACATGCAGAACCAGGTAGAGAAATGATCTTTTCTTCAACTGTCACCTCCCTGCTTCTTATCCAAGACCAGCCGAACCCCCATGGCTTTTCAGGCTTTCCATGAATAACCCGGGTGGTGGGCTAGGCCATAAAAGCAAGTGTTAGTATGCACAGATGTGAATTTATGTATATATAATGTTCTTGTCGGTGTCACAGTCAGGTGTACAACTGACTGCCACCAACAAATGACAAATATGTAATAATAATCTCTGATCTTGTATGAGTGTGTAATAACATTTTATTTTTTCAGAGTTGGGCGTTTAGAGTTAAGTCTTAATTAAGATAATATTTTTTGCACTTAGTGACTTCTTTGAAGGCGTCTTTGTTCGCAAATCATTGCTCATTTCCTGCTGTTATGGAGAGACAAAACCACTGAACTTTCAGGAGTCACACTTCTTAAATTACATCCTGGCACAAAGCTCGATCTAGAGTCTAGTTAATTATATAGGGATGTGACTGAATAGATGGGCACTGACATAGATAAGAAGGTTAATTATAAATCACATTTTATATTTGGGCAGTGCATGCAAACACTATAATATGGAGATAAGGGACAACTGTGAACATGGCTTCTGTGTTGAGACTCGCCCACTCATAAGCACACACATTAAACTACAGGGGGCTGTCACCGTGGTATATACTCTGTACTTAAATCCCTCTTTTGCTCTCACTGGGCCAGAATACTCGGTTGGACCCTGAGGAGTACTTCACCAAGCAGGAGCGGATCGGCAAGGGTTCGTTTGGAGAGGTCTACAAAGGCATCAACAACCGTACAAAGGAGGTGGTGGCCATTAAAATTATAGACCTGGAGGAGGCAGAGGACGAGATAGAAGACATTCAGCAGGAGATCACGGTGCTGAGCCAGTGTGACAGTCCTTATGTTACAAAGTATTATGGCTCATATCTGAAGGTGAGATAATGTAAATACTGAAGTGACACTTGCCCAGATGCTTAAATATACAAACACATACAGTGGTTTGTTCCTTCAATTGTTTCCTCCTCCCACAGGGAACAAAGCTGTGGATTATCATGGAGTATTTAGGTGGAGGATCTGCTCTGGATCTAGTAAGTCGATTTCTATTTTTATGCAGCTTACAAAGTTTTAGACAACTCCTACAATAGTGCACTTTTCATACTCGAGAAGGAAAGCTCATCCTTTTGTCGCACTGTCACCATCCTAGCTCCGTCCAGGACCTCTTGAAGAAACTTACATTGCTACTATACTGAGGGAAATACTAAAGGGGCTGGAGTATCTGCACTCTGAAAGGAAGATTCACAGAGATATCAAAGGTAATGAGTGCTCACTTCGATCTTTACGGTGTTCGGTCCTTTTAAATCCCCCTTGGTGCTGTTTGTTTGTGCAGATGTGAACCCAGTTATCGCACTCGGGCACAGACCAAAACAGCCACACAGAGACCCTTTGGAAGAGGTTGTCTTGGTGCAGTTCTAAATGAACTCCAGAATAGTTTATTTATGATATGAATATGTTCCTGGTAGTTGACCCAAACAAACTACCAGGTTACAAGTTTGAGATTTAAAAAAAAAACTTCCTGTAGGCACGTATGCTTTGTTTTCAGTGATACAGCAAGGTACTAGAGATGTGCAAAGGTCTGTATGGGCTAGCAGCTATCTGCGAAATGAAAGTATATTCTATGTATTCTCTAATAGTCCAACACCTTCTTTCTATATTTACACATCTGTCCAGTGAGCGGACTGAACATCCTGACGTGTTTTTTCTTTTCTCTTTGTGAAAAGATACCAAATCATAGGGAAGAACTCCAAGTTTACAAACTCACCAACTATACCAGAGAAAACAAACTATAGGTGTGAACACACCCAAAGAGTCTCATAGGTGTCAGCTAACAGCTAACATAGTTGTCAAGTTCTGCGCTGGTACAAACTCGGGTATAATCGGTAAGAGCTGTTTTGTAGCGTACGCTCTCGTGAGTACAAGACTCAATGCTGTGATCCAACGTTTTATGTCAACAACTGAACGCTGTGATAAGAGAGCTGCTGCACAGCCGGCCTTAACCAGATGCTGCAGAGAAGAAGTGCACACACTGAAATATGCCAACGAGCTGTGTACATTTTTAACACCATCTGTGAGCTCGAAATCTCACAACATGCTGCGTGTGCGACTTGTATACACTTTTACATATATTTGTGTGTGGAGCCTTTTCTGCTCTGTTCTTTCCTTGTTATGAAAGAATGTAACACTTTGTAATTAAGTAATCGCACAAATAAGGAGTTTAAAACTTTGGTGTGTTACTCGGTGGGGTGGATTTATTCTCCGTATTATTTGTGTTCTTGTGCTCCTTTTCTCCTTTTCTCTATAGTTGCTTGTGAAATTAAATGCAGCACTCCAGTCTCCAAAATCGAAAATTAATTATTAATTCATTTTGGATTTCAAAAGTGAGAGTTGGCCTGAATAAGCTGTAACAACATTGTTACTCATTATCTCAGATGTTCTGGCCTCATCTTATTTTTAGCACGTTATATTAACCAGACTGCTGTAACAGATACAAAAAGCAGACCCAGATACTTTAGGTTGTATTTTAACGGTCTGTCTTTTCTGCCTTTCTCCCAGCTGCCAATGTGCTCTTGTCAGAGCAGGGTGATGTGAAGCTGGCAGATTTTGGGGTGGCGGGGCAGCTGACAGACACTCAGATCAAGAGGAACACATTTGTCGGCACGCCTTTCTGGATGGCCCCGGAGGTCATTAAGCAGTCAGCCTACGACTTTAAGGTGAGGCAAACGTTTGTGAACAAGCTGTGTGTACACTGAGAGCATGAAGAGACATCATTTTGTTGTTAACCAACGGGAACTGAATTTTGATGCCTTAAACAGCTTTTTATATCTTTACCCACTCAGGCTGATATCTGGTCTCTGGGAATCACTGCCATTGAGTTGGCCAAAGGGGAACCCCCCAACTCTGATCTACACCCCATGAGAGTCCTTTTTCTAATCCCCAAAAACACTCCACCCACATTGGAAGGCCCTTACAGCAAACCCTTTAAAGAATTTGTAGAGGCTTGTCTAAATAAAGACCCCCGTTTTGTGAGTAAAACACCAACATACATCAGTATCATACATCTGGTAATAACTGCTGCAGAGAGAAACTGAACATGAATTCTTTATCCTACCAAGTATTTTGGATTAGCATGTCTGGTCCTTAATAGGAATTAGAGGTTGTTCTGGTTGTTTCTCAAATATTCCAACATGATCCAAAGTGCGCTCTTGAAAGGCACCAAAACCTTTCCGAGTAATTTGACACTGAAGCTTGCTTTAGCATGTGTTTGTAGACAACAGCACTCCAACTTGTATGGGCTGAGTGATATTGCCCCTGGTTGGACATTTTTATGCTCCTCATGTTTTTATTCACTACAATATAAAGCACCTTGAGGAAACAGTTGTTGTGATTTGACGCTGTATAAATGGAATTGAATCGAACTGAATTTCTTCTCTGCACAGAGACCAACAGCCAAAGAGCTTCTGAAACACAAGTTTATCACACGTTACACCAAGAAGACAGCTTATCTGACAGAGCTGATTGACCGCTACCGCCGCTGGAAATCGGAGGGACACGGGGAGGAGTCCAGCTCTGACGACTCGGACATGTTAGTCTCAAGAACATCACACTTATTTGCATTAACAATCAGGGTGTATCCGTCAGGGGTATGTTTGACTCGTCCTTTCAATCTTCTTCCTCTTTCTGTCGCCGCTTCTTTCAGGGATGCTGATGGTGATGTAGATCAGTGTCCCATGTGGACCTTCCCCACAGTCAGGCCCACTTCTATGAACAAGTTACAGAAGGGCTACACGCACACAGATTCAGAGGTAAGGCAGACTGAGCAGAGAGACGGAAACACCAGGTCGAATCTTTTTTCCTTTCTTCTTACGCTCTGTTTTCTCTTTGCAGTCAGGAGATTCTGTGAAAAGGCAACCAAAGTCACAGTGCTTGTCTGCTTTGGTAACACCCACCTTCAGAGAGGTAGGCCATACTGTTGCTTTTTATACAATATCAGATTCATTTAGACAAAATGTAGTAGTCGGAATATTTGCTTGACAATTGA